TGTGTGTGTGTGTGTGTGTGTGTGTGTTTCAATTAGTGAATATAATATATCCGATTAAAATTTGTAGTTTCATAATTAGATACATGATAATAATGTTTGAAGCTTGAAGAGAAAACAGTACAAATATTAAATCAAAGAAACTGAGAAAGTTTTTAACGAAAAAAGAACGTTTAATTTTTTAAGTTTTAGTTAGTGTTTTACGGCACTTGCAACACAATGTCATATAAGCGCCGAAGATTAGAGGAATTACAAGGGAGTAACAAACACAAAAAAGGAGGGGAGATAAAGACGATAGATGTCTGATAGGAAAGAAGGAGCAAACCACAACAGAGAACCCGTCAACCACCCACTCTAAGAACGCAAACTAACTAATATTCAGTAATTTCAATAATCTGTAGCGCTGTTCACCCACTGCAGTGGAAAAAGGAAAAAAAGAAAGAGGGAGAAAAAAATGGGGTGTAGGCTCATAATTTCACTAAGTTAGCAGAACCGCACTTGCGTCCCAAATCTTTCCCCACTTCATCAGGCTGGAGGTGAGAAATCATAGATTTATATGATCATAGATCATTAGCTCTATTTCCGGTCTATTAATCGGCACACTTTTTACCCAAAATTTGAGCCAAATGAAGGGCAAGGTAAGGAAAGTGCCGCACAAACACGACTAAAATGAGACTATAGTGCGGTGAAAAATTCGTGTTGCAACTAATCTTCTAACATCTCTTTAACGTGTGAATCAATGTCATCCATACTTTGCATAGCAGTTTGTATCTTATTTGTCTTAACTAAATCAAATTTTACTAGAACAATTGGGGCTAGATTAAAAAACTTTTCTTCATAACTTTATATAAAATTCTTGAAATCTCTGTCACACGTAAAAGGTATTGTTCACAGCACTCCCCGCTTTTCACACATTTTGATCACGCGTATGGCCTACGTCACAGCTCATCAAAGACAATTTTTACTTGCAAAACTTGTTACCAGAAATTATTGTTATAGTGAACCCATTTTTGCACTATTGGCTCTCAAAACATGCGTTCAATAAGCCTAATGTCCCGATTAGAAAACCAGACGGACTTTTTGATTTTTGACCGCATTATAGTGTCTTGTCCTTCATTTGAGCACAATGGCCTATGGTGCACGCTCGTCGCAGTTTTTGTAGAGCGCTAAGTGCCATGACAGTTTGTGATCTAGGAGTGTACAAGTCTATGCGAGAAGTATTTTAATGGTCTTAAGGCGACATTTTTTTTGTGATTGGCGTTTCGTTTTCTATGTTCTAGACGGACAAGTAGGCTACAGCAGTAGCTGATGGTGAAACGTTCTTATTTCCCCTACTCTTTCTCTGTTTCTTCTGTCCGTTTGTGGGTTTGTTTGTGCGTGTGTGTGTGTGGGTTTGTTTGTGTGTGCGCGCGCGCGCGCGCGCGTGTGTGTGTGTTTTTTTTTGGTTTTTTTTAGAGCGTGTATGTGTTTATGTGTGTGTGAGTGTTTATTTGTTTGTTTTAGTGCGTGTGTGTGTGTGT